TTCTAAAGAAAGACCCCCGTGGTCCGCCCAGACAAAGAGAGAAGCACATCTTAGTTTTATTTTTATAGGATCTGGGTGTGACGGCACATGCTTTGTGCAGAATTTTGCATTTTATGTACAGAAAATATGTTGCATATTATGTACAGAAAATATTTCTATGTAGTATTGTTTTCTGCACAGAAAAGGCTGTTTCCAATACAGAAAATGTTGTTTTCTCTGCAAATCAACCACAAGTGGCCTTTGTAGAGAATAAATCCTAAACTGCTAAGATTCTTGTCCATTTAGGATTCAGTTAGTTAGGAGCTTTTAAAACTGGTTTTGTATATTTTCAAATATTATTTCTGTCTCTAGACATCAAACGCCCTGTTATCTATGGTATACATCCAGTGAAATCTACAGAAGTGTTTTCCAGATCGAATAGTGGACTTCTTTTGTGTCACAATATTAATTTGTGCTCTATGAAGCAGGCAGCCTTCAGCAATTTTAAAAGACAGTTAAAATAGCAATAAATGGTGATATAATTTATTTGAATCAAACGTGAGACCGGCTAGACCCAGTTTTGCATTTGATTGTTTAATTGTACAACAATAATTTTGCCGCGGCCAACGCAAACAAACTCCACCAGTTTTATCGATGCTTTGGATTATTAATGCTGCTCTTAAAATTCTCCTAGTTAGTTTTGATTGAATTGTTCCTTATTCTAGGAGATGTTTTTTTCCTTTAAAAAAAATCCTTTTTGGGTTCCCTCCCCCTTCCTTTTGGGTGTGCGTTTCTGTCGTTTAATGGAGCGGTAAATAAGAATTTCTGATAATGAGCCCAAGCATCTGTCACAACAACCTGGCGCTGGTTATTAACATTTCCATTAACGGCAGGGTGGGCAGCGATAATACGGAAACAGCACAGTTAGAACAAAATAAATAGTTGGTGTCAGGCTGAGTGGGTGTTAATTACTATTTTATTTTATAACCCCGGAGAGGAAGAGAGCAGAAAGATAGAAATATATAATAATAATAACAGGCTCGTGAAGGTCACTGTCTGTCGGTGGGAAAAAGGAGCTGGCCAGAAGAGCTGAGAACCTGTGCTATATCTCCTTTGGTTGGCAAGAGTTTTGCAGCTTCCATTTGGGGTCTGCTAAATGGGCCTAGCGCAAGGAGGATGGGCTTTCCAGCACAATGGGCAGAGGTTATTACAAGCCCATCTGCAGGCGAGAACGGTGGCACATGGCATCCTTTGCGCATAGTTTTCACTCCCTCTGCAAAAAGTTGCCGGCCCTGAGATGGAAGCGAAAGTAGGCCGAGACTGATTTCAAGTGTCAAAGGCAGTCATTTGCCCGTTGACGAAGAGCGGCCGTGATGTGCCGGGCAGCCGGGCTTCCAAAAGGCAGATTGATCCTCCGTTAAGGACTTTGCACTCTCGGAGACGTGCCACAGATATCCCTGAGCGGCATTACATCCAACTCAGGAGCAGGATGTGTTTCTCGCTAATATACATGTCAGAAGATTAGGAGTGGATGAGTTGGCATCCTCTGGGCGAGCGGAATTTAGCGCATTTGGTCGGTTGCTATTGCTGCAAGCAGAGAGGCCCGGTCTGTGCAAGGAAACATCCAGCTTGCAATGCCTGGGGAAATCTGCACTGGGCTGCCTTCCATTAAGGGCACCAAAACGTTGCTCTAGGTTGCGTTGATTTATTCATTGAGTTTCTTCTCGCCTGCCTTGTTTCCAGGGCTGCACTCAGGGCAGGTTACCACAGATTTTAAAAAAGCACATGGTCACAAACTGACAAAATACAAAAGCATATAAGTGATGCAACTGTTATAAAGATTAATACCAGCAAACACACGGACACACATATATATACACACACCATAATAAAAAAAACCCCAAAATTAAATAGAAAATTCAACACATTGGGTTGTTGTAGGTTTTTTCGGGCTGTATGGCCATGGTCTAGAGCAGTGGTTCTCAACCTGGGGTCCCCAGATGTTTTTGGCCTTCAACTCCCAGAAATCCTAACAGCTGGTAAACTGGCTGGGATTTCTGGGAGTTGTAGGCCAAAAACATCTGGGGACCCCAGGTTGAGAACCACTGTCTAGAGGCATTCTCTCCTGACATTTCGCCTGCATCTATGGCAAGCATCCTCAGAGGTAGTGAGGTCTGTTGGAACTAGGAAAAGGGGTTTATATATCTGTGGAATGACCAGGGTGAGATAAAGGACTCTTTTCTGCTGGAGCTAGGTGTGAATGTTTCAACTGACCACCTTGATTAGCATACAGTGGGCTGACTGTGCCTGGAGCAAACTTTTGTTGAGAGGTGATTAGATGTCCTTGTTTGTTTCCTCTCTGTTGTTGTGCTGTTGCAATTTTAAAGTTTTTTAATACTGGTAGCCAGATTTTGTTCATTTTCATGGTTTCCTCCTTTCTGTTGAAATTGTCCACATGCGTCTTGTGGATTTCAATGGCTTCTCTGTGTAGCCTGACATGGTGGTTGTGAGAGTGGTCCAGCATTTCTGTGTTCTCAAATAAAATGCTGTGTCCAGGCTGGTTCATCAGGTGCTCTGCTATGGCTGACTTCTCTGGTTGAAGTAGTCTGCAGTGCCGCTCCTGTTAGTAACCTGGCTGCCGAACGTTGGACCATTTGGGCTTTGGAAGAATGCTGCACTCACAGAGCTCAGATAGTGTTTTGTTTCAGTGTCAATGTTGACTTTTGTGGAGAGGTGGCTGCCAAGGGAGCAGAAATGGTCAACATTTTAACCCTAATGTTACACCATTAAGGTGTATTTCTGGCATTGGAGAGGGACACCAACACAGCACGATCTTTTCAGCTGTGCATCTGTGTAATTAATATTTCTATATTAGTTACACTGCCTATTCAAATGCCTGCTCAAACAACCAGGTCTTCACTTTCCTCCGAAATGTGAACAGGGAGGGGGCCAATACTAATTTCTGTGGGAAGGGCGTTCCACCACTGAGAAGGCCCTGTCTCTCGTCCCCGCCAACCGTACTTGTGATGCAGGCGGGACCGAGAGCAGGGCCTCCCCAGACGATCTTAACGTCCTAGCTGGTTCTTAGGAGGAGATACGTTCGGACAGGTAAGTTGGGCCAGAACCGTTTAGGGCTTTATAGGCTAAGGCCAACACGTTGAATTGTGCCCGGTAGCAAATTGGCAGCCAGTGGAGCTGGCGCAACAGAGGAGTTGTATGCTCCCTGAGTGCCGCTCCTGTTAGTAACCTGGCTGCCGAGTGTTGGACCATTTGAAGCTTCCGGACAGTCTTCAAAGGCAACCCCCCGTAGAGAGCATTGCAGTAGTCTATACGGGATGTAACCAGAGCGTGGACTACCGTGGCCAAGTCAGACTTCCCAAGGTACAGGCGCAACTGGCGCACAAGTTCCAAGACTATCAAAATTCACAACACAGTGGCAGAAGGCTTCATTGAGGTTTATGCCCCTTCCTTTCCCAAATAATGTTCATGTCCTCCCGTGGCCACCATTACCTGGAAAGGAGTAACAGTTCTCCTACTTCCTTGCCACCTGATATGTATATTGTATCTTTCACCATATGAACTCCCAAGTCATTCAACTGATTTGATTAAGGAAGGCAATCAGGTTGCTGTCCCTTTCCTGGCATAAAAATAAAATACCCAGTCTAGTGAAAAATCTCCTTGTGCCTACGTTTCCTTTTCACCGACTGTTGAATGCTGTGGCAGTTTCTCAAAGGAAAGTTTTGTAACATTTCTTGAAAGCGTTTGACAGGCCTCTGGAGAAGAGAGTTCCTTAATTTGGGAGCATCCCTGCAAAGAACAGCTCTCTCCATGGCATGTCCTTGAACAAATCCGCATTGAATTAATTGCTGCCCAGTTCTCAAATAATTCTGTAGGCGCTTTCAGAAAGAAAGTCTCAGTTTGTTTTCAAAACTGCTAACTTCAAGAAGCAGAAAGCTGTCTGGTACCGTGTCTAGCAAGCTTGCCGGCTGTTTATTTTTGAAGAGAGAGATTCCTACTCTCTCCAGAGAAAAGGGAGAATTGGGCTTGCATGAGTCCTTTGGAAAAAGGATACAGGTTTCAAAACGCTCTGCAAACAGCTGCAGCTGCATGTCGGAAATCTAGTTTGCATGCTTGCAAGAATCCCAGTTCCCACCTTATTGTTCTGTCGCGCACTGGGCCTGTAACAGCTGTACTTTTCTATAGGACGTATATACTTTAAGCCCAGCTGGAGGGCGCATCAAAGAGAGGTTCTCAGGGATTTTTCTGAAGTGATGGTCTTTAGAGTCTTTAATGATGCAACAAAGTCTTTATTATGGAACAAACAACAAATCTTCAATGGTTCAAACAACACTTCAAGGCTTTCTTAGTCTAGTCCTCAATGGACTGGTACCTGACTTTGATTAACTGTACTTTCTCTGTAAGAAAAAAACCCTATTTAACCTCTCCCAGGCTGTTTACTATCTATGCCTCATCGGTGTGGGTCCTACTACCGATTCCAAATGCGTCTGGGTATCAAGTAGACCTACCAGCCGAGGCTTGTAGATATTTCAGATGGAGTTCCGTGGATCTGTAGTGCTGTCCTCCCTCAGAGAATTCTTTGAAAACCTCAGGGTTGTTTTCCCTCTGATTGCTGTGAGGCTGAGAGGCTGTGAGCTCTCAGCCAGAGCCTTGGGACCTTTTCCCTGGAATTTCTGTTTCTGTTTCCCTCGGATGTTCTTGAGAAAAGAAGCTTTTCTATGGGACGAGCTGGTCTACATCCTATAGTTTAGCTTCCTATGTGAGACTGCCCAAAAATGGCTCCTTTCCCTCTCAGAGCCCTGAACAAGGGGCGGAACCAAAGCTTAATTATGATGGACAGGAGGTCTGCCCTATGACTGCAAACAGATAACAGAAAGAAAATAAAGTTGGAGCTCCTGGTACAGCCATGCCAGCACCCATACTTTTCCCAATGTGCACATGGTGATGGCTCTTGGGTTCGCTTCTAATTCTCCTTCCCACTTCCTTTTGTTGTCTTTCTCCAGCCCCAGCAATGCCTCCTCAAAATATCCAGATAAATGCACTCTCTGCAAGCCAACTGGAAGTCACCTGGGATCCTCCTCCTGTTGACAGCCAGAATGGGAACATACAAGGCTACAAGGCAAGTGACTCTCCTGCATCTTGCAATGATGCTAGCTTTTCTTCCCTTCAATAGACTTGGAAATGGAAACATGGGGAGTTGCCTTCTTAATTTGGGGGGGGACGACGACGACGACTATATATGTATTGCATGGGTATATGAGACTTTATACAGTGGGGGGGGGGGAGTAGTCAGATACCAATTGTACAAGTTCTCCCACTTAAAAAGATTAGAGATGCCTGTAATTGACATCAAAGGTAGACCTCAACTATGAGGTCTACATATAGGGAAGTCATGCTACCCCTCTATTCTGCTTTGGTTAGACCACACCTGGAATATTGTGTCCAATTCTGGGCACCACAATTCAAGAGAGATTGACCAGTTGGAATGTGTCCAGAGGAGGGCGACTAAAATGATCAAGGGTCTGGAGAACAAGCCCTATGAGGAGCGGCTTGAAGAGCTGGTCATGTTTAGCCTGAAGAAGAGAAGGCTGAGAGGAGACATGATGAGAGCCATGTATAAATATGTGAGAGGAAGCCACAGGGAGGAGGGAGCAAGCTTGTTTTCTGCTTCCCTGGAGACTAGGATGCAATGGGACAATGGCTTCAAACGACAAGAGAGGAGATTCCATCTGAACATGAGGAAGAACTTCCTGACTGTGAGAGCCGTTCAGCAGTGGAACTCTCTGCCCCGGAGTGTGGTGGAGGCTCCTTCTTTGGAAGCTTTTAAACAGAGGCTGGATGGCCATCTGTCAGAGGTGATTTGAATGCAATATTCCTGCTTCTTGGCAGAATGGGGTTGGACTGGATGGCCCATGAGGTCTCTTCCAACTCTTTAATTCTATGATTCTATGAGAGACAACATGAGAAAACACATCCAGAAAATGTATGTATTGTATGTGCAGTAGGAGGACAGTGAAGGGGTTGTTGCTACATGTTTTATTTTATTTTTTTATCAAAAGCATTGCATAATTAGTATAAAACTGATGAAAATAGAGAGAGCACAAGTGGCTAAATATTTTTGGACCAAAAACAGGCAACAGCAACCGCATTGTCTGTAGCCTCCAATAACACTTCCTCTGTACATGAGGCAGGACGTTGTGGACAAGCATGGAGATGCAGAGTTGTTTGTTCTGCTCCACCTTCTGCTAAGGTGGAGGATTGTTTTAGGTAGTGCCGTTTTGCTAGGTTATCTTTTGATCTGCCCACTCCACTTCTGAGTCTGTTCGAGGACTTCCGAGTTGTCCAACTTGCTACATGTATGGACCTTCATGGAGATACTGTAACCTATTGTAACCATAGTAGACTCATTGGGTCAGTTGGATTTAGCTACGTCTTGTTTTTGTCATTCAATATCGAATCAAGGGGACTACCCAACAGGATTCCAATCTTTAAATATTCTGCTTATGTACTGACATATACTAGGATTTCCCAACCCACATGGACTGTGTTCGCTGAGAAATGACTAAATCACATCAGAAGATCCAACAGTGACCACTCACCAAATACTTCTGAAAATAGTATCGCCAGGGCAGGAGGTCATTGTTGTCAATGGGATGCCGCCTTTGAATCTGGAAACGTAGTGGCCCTGAGTGGAAGAGTTGTCGGTATTTGCAGTGATGAGCTGGGCTGGAAGCTTGTGTTCTTGCCGACAGGCAACACAAAGCAAGGATCAAAGAGAGGCAGGAAGTGTACCTCCGACCCTCTGAAATGATATCAGCAGCGTACTAAAATAAACAAGAATGGCTTCCTTCCCATATTGATGTTCCGTGTCATCAGAACATCCCTCTAAATTTTGGACAAGAAAACCTTGGTTGAATCCTGGATAACATAGATCCATCAAGCAAAATCAATGGTTGTAATTTCTAGAAACTTATTATTTGTTTATTCAGTTACTAGCTGTCCCCTGCAATGTATTGCTGTGGCCCACATGGGGGTTTTGTGTGGGAGGTTTGGCCCAATTCTATCATTGGTGGGGTTCAGAATGCTCTGTGATTGTAGGTGAACTATAAATCCCAGCAAGTACAACTCCCAAATGTCAAGACTCTATTTTCCCTAAACTCCACCAGTGTTCACATTTGGGCATATTGAGTACTCGTGTAGTTTGGTCCAGATCCATCATTGTTTGAGTCCATAGTGATCTCTGGATGTAGGTGAACTACAACTCCAAAACCAAAGGACACTGCCCACTAAACCCTTCCAGTATTTTCTGTTGGTCATGGGAGTTCTGTGTGCCAGTTTGGTTCAGTTCCATCATTGGGGGAGTTCAGAAGGCTCGTTGATTGTAGGTGAACTATAAATCCCAGCAACTACAACTCCCAAATGTCACTGTCTATTTTCCTCAAACTCCACCAGTGTTCACATTTGGACATATTGAATATTCGTGTAGTTTGTTCCAGATCCATCATTGTTTGAGTCCACAGTGATCTCTGGATGTAGGTGAACTACAACTCCAAAACCAAAGGACACTGCCCACCAACCCCTTCCAGTATTTTCTGTTGGTCATGGGAGAACTGTGTGCCAAGTTTGGTTCAATTCCATCGTTGGTGGGGTTCAGAATGCTCTTTGATTGTAGGTGAACTATAAATCCCAGCAACTACAACTCCCAAATGACAAAATCAATTTTTTTGAGTGAAGGACATACATTGGGTTGTTAGGTGTATCATGTCCAAATTTGGTGTCAATTCCCCCAGTGGTTTTTGAGTTCTGTGAGTATTGCAAATGAACATTACAGTTTTATTTATATAGATGACATTTATATTCTGTTCTTTAATCACACTCGACTCACAGTCTAGCAATAGCCAACAAAATAAAACTAAACCCTGTGCAAATCCCCAACAACTGACAACCAACCAGCACAATCAGCATATACTAACCAACAGCAACATAGACTTAGCTCCAAAAGCCCTTACAAAAGCCAACATTTCAGCTGGGAAGAGGCAAGTTGAAATTTCTTATGGTGTGGAGACTTCCAACTCATTGGGTTCAGAGCCTCGAAGGAAGATGTGACACATGTGGGAAGACAGGGTCCTCAGTCCATGTTGACCATCTAAAAGCAGTGTTTCTCAACCTTCCTAATCATAGAATCATAGAATCAAAGAGTTGGAAGAGACCTCATGGGCCATCCAGTCCAACCCCCTGCCAAGAAGCAGGAATATTGCATTCAAAGCACCCCCGACAGATGGCCATCCAGCCTCTGTTTAAAAGCTTCCAAGAAGAAGCTTCCACCACACTCCGGGGCAGAGAGTTCCACTGCTGAACGGCTCTCACAGTCAGGAAGTTCTTCCTCATGTTCAGATGGAATCTCCTCTCTTGTAGTTTGAAGCCATTGTTTGCGTCCTAGTCTCCAGGGAAGCAGAAAACAAGCTTGCTCCTTCCTCCCTGTGACTTCCTCTCACATATTTATACATGGCTATCATATCTCCTCTCAGCCTTCTCTTCTTCAGGCTAAACATGCCCAGCTCCTTAAGCGACTCCTCATAGGGCTTGTTCTCCAAACCCTTGATCATTTTAGTCGCGCTCCTCTGGACACATTCCAGCTTGTCAATACCTCTCTTCAATTGTGGTGCCCAGAATTGGACACAATATTCCAGGCCGTGACCCCTTAATACAGTTCCTCATGTTGTGGTGACCTCCAATCATAACATTATTTTCGTTGCTACTTCATCACTGTCATTTTGCTACTGGTATGAATCATAATGTAAATATCTGATATGCAGGATATATTTCCATTCACTGGACCAAATTTGGCACAAATATCCAATTTTGAATACTGGTGGGGTTTGGGAAGGGTTGATTTTATCATTTGGGAGTTGCAGTTGCTGGAATTTATAGTTCGCCTACAATCAAAGAGCATTCTGAACTCCATCAACGATTGGAATTGCACCAAACTTGGCAACAGAACTCCCATGACCAGCAGAAAATACTGAAAACGTTTGATGGGCATTGACCTTGAGTTTTGGAGCTGTAGTTCACCAACATCCAGAGGGCACTATGGACTCAAACAAAGATGGATCTGGAATCATGTCAGAAGGAGCCCCCGGTGGCGCAGTGGGTTAAACCCCTGTGCCGGCAGGACTGAAGACCGACAGGTCACAGGTTCGAATCCGGGGAGAGGCGGATGAGCTCCCTCTATCAGCTCCAGCTCCTCATGCGGGGACATGAGAGAAGCCTCCCACAAGGATGATAAAAACATCAAATCATCCTGGCGTCCCCTGGGCAACGTCCTTGCAGACGGCCAATTCTCTCACACCAGAAGCAACTTGCAGTTTCTCAGGTCGCTCCTGACACGAAAAAAAAAACTTGGCACAAATACTCAATATGCCCAAATGTGAATACTGGTTTGTTGTTGTTGTTCATTCGTTCAGTCGTCTCCGACTCTTCGTGACCTCATGGACCAGCCCACGCCAGAGCTCCCTGTCGGCCGTCACCACCCCCAGCTCCTTCAGATTCAAGCCAGTCACTTCAAGGATACCATCCATCCATCTTGCCCTTGGTCGGCCCCTCTTCCTTTTGCCTTCCACTTTCCCCAGCATCATTGTCTTCTCGAATACTGGTTTAGTTTGGGGAAAATCGACCTTGATATTTGGGAGTTGTGGATGCTGGGATTTATAGTTCACCTACAATAAAAGAGCATTCTGAACCCCACCAATGATAGAATTGGGTCAAACCCCCACAACCAACAGAAAACACTGTGTTTTCCTATGGTCTTTGACACCCCCTTTGTGACCCCACCCAGGGTTGAGAAATGCTGAATTAGATCAGGCATGGGCAAACTTTGGCCCTCCAGGTATTTTGGACTTCAACTCCCACAATTCCTAACAGCCTCAGGCCCTTTCCTTTTCCCCCTCAGCCGCTTAGCGGCTGAGGGGGAAAAGGAAGGGGCCTGAGGCTGTTAGGAATTGTGGGAGTTGAAGTCCAAACCATCTGGAAGGGCCAAGTCTGCCCATGACTGATCTGGAACTTTTAAAGTTGAACCTCAACATCAGGAATCAATTAACAGCCAACAAACATGTCACAAAACGGGTTATTTATGGTTTGAGTCAACCCTACTGCATTCCAACTGTCATTTCCAAATACTCTTCAGAGGTGGCCCTGGGTAAAACATGTTAGCAGTAATCTACGCCGACGATTGCCAGTAGAGCCACTCTGGCCAAGTCCTCTTTTGTCCAGGAAGAAGGCATCTGGTGCCCCAACATCCGCACCAGCTTGAGCAACGGCCATTGGCGCCAGTAGCTGCACCGGATCCAGGATCACACCCTGGATGACACCCTGCCAAAAGCTTATTGCAGTCCTATAAGCAAATCTTTGAGACTGGATTGGACGCGCACTGACGACAAGCCTTGGAAGCTGCCTTTGGTTCATTGCTTGGCACATTAGACCCGCAAATAGAGCAAAGCCAAGCCAATGAAAATAATCTGGCATTACGGCTTGGCAGAAGTGAGCTACCTGCTATAACCATTTGTATATTTTTCCCTTTTGTTTGTGCACAGGCTGTTCTAGTAGCTTGGCTTGTAACACAAAAGCATGCTCTTGGCTGGGCGTTGAGGTCAGGTTCCTGGCGCACCTAGCATAGGATTGATTAACCAATAGACATTCATTAGTGGCGCTTGAATGGCCAAACTGGGAGTCCAAACTGGGTAATCAGGTTGAGGAAAGTGGGTCTACATTGCTACCACTGGGCACCAATGCCGAGACAGAGCTATTAGATTATGAAAAACTGGAAAGAGTCCATGGCTTACATAATCATACAATCGTGAGAACAATTCTGTTGGATCAAGTTGGATCCAATTCAGTATCCTTTGTCCTAAGGTAGATTGGCCAGACGTTTTCTGGGCACTCACAGGTCGGCTTGAAGGCAATCGCTATGCCCTGTTCTTTGGCCATTTTGAGCAACTGTTCTGCAGAGCCACAACATCTCTATGCAGCCAACTTGAGAAACAGGATCCAATAGACTTCTCCTCACCCTCTTTTCAAACCACCCAGCTGTCTTCACCAGATTTCTAGAGAACCGATGCCATAAACTGCTGCATTGTGTGAATGGTTCAAACTCTGGTTCAAACTCTTTTTCCAATCCATTTTGTTGGGTGGTCCCAAGTTCTAATATTGCATGAAGGCCTATCCACTTTGCTTAATGCTTTAGTCTCCCGAGCCAGAGTTCAAATATGCATGGATACATCAGGGGAAGAAAAAGAGTTTGTATCGTCATGAGAGGGATGTGATTTTAAGTGAGATTTTCTAATGACTGTAAATCCCATATGCCCTGATTTGCTAGAGGCTTTGTTTGCCAAAACTGTTAATGCTTAGAAAAAGCTGCCACGGGGAGGTGATTATTTTCTGTGTCTTCAAAGAGAATGTTGCAACCCAGAGCAGGAAACTGGACCCTCAGACAACAATCCACCACACTTGACTCCAGGAAAACAATCCTTCTTTATTGATGAAAGATAAATACAAAATAGAAGAAATATGCAAAGGTAAAAAGTCACAGTAAAAATCAGCAACAAGAAATGTCCATAAACAAGATCATGAAACCCACAGCAAAACTGCTGAATCCTGGACCTGTTAGCAATCCACTAACGGTACTTGGAACAACCAGAAAACCTCCGAGGAACAAGGCCACTTGAATCAGGAGACCTGCAAAAGCTTGCACATGAATCTGGAATGATGCCTGGTCTGAAGCTACATTCAGGCCAGGCATACTTAAGGCCGAGAAATCTATTGCGAGACACGCCTGAAGACTTTCTTTGCATTTCTCTTAATCTAGCTGACCTACGTAAACTTTGTGCTTCCCCCCGGCTCTGCCAAATCTGCCCCCGCCTATCCTCATTAGGCAGACCAGGTGTCAGATTCTCTGGAGAAGTAAGACTGGGAGGAAAAGGGAGTGAAACGTCTTGGCTCGGCTCGGAATGCATGTTCTCATGGGAATCTTGACTTTCACTTTCCAAGGCTGTAGGATTTTCACTCCTCAAACCATCATCATCTAAATTGGCCTCAGAATTCACATTGACATCGACATTGGCATCAGGAAATACAATCAGAGAATCAGGTTCAGGTTCACACACAGGCTGAACCCCAACAGAGATAGCTACAAGCTGCAAGTTAATACTGAACTCTTCAAATTTCTCATGCACTGGAAAGAGCAACAGGGCCGACTCGCAGATGCCAAGCTCAGGGTCAGAGGCATGAACAGTACCATTGTTAGATACTAGGTATGGTTAGGTTCAGTCGGAATCTTCGTAATTCAGAATAAATTTGGAAAGATTTGCTTTTTGAAGCAATTTCAAAGTTTTTAAGGAAATCGGAAGTCCCTTTGCCCTTCCAAAGCTTTTTCCGCCATTTCTGTTACGAAGCTGTGAGTTGGAAATGATTAAGCTTTTCCCCACTTCTGGTTTCAAGCCTGGAAAGCATTTTAAACCAGAGTGGATGGATTTCCTGCCTTTCCTTTCCCCTCGCTTCTGGTCTCAAGCCTGGGAAGTGTTTTAAACCAGAGTGGACGAATTCCCTCCCTTTTGCTCCCCCCCCCCTTTCTGCAGTAAAACAACTACTTTCAAAGTAAATACCACCCAATGAAATAGGAATTAACACTTTCAAACCATTAAGGAAGAATTCAGAATTTTCAAAAAGTTTTGAACACTTTTTTTCTGTGAAAATTGGAATTGATTTCCGAATTGAACCACGAGCACCCCCTACATCCTAAACGAGTTTTGAACAATTTTAAAAATCAAGCAAGCCTATTAGATACCTTTTGCTGTTTGAGAGATAGAGAGAGCCAATAAGAATGTGTATAAGCCAGTTTAGACCAATGAAATGATTGATCTTTGAACACCAATGAAACTGTGCCTTTAACTTTCTGTAAAAGTGATAAATACGTATCTAACTTCGGGTGTGACAAAATCTTTGATTGCATTTGTATTTGTGCCTTGTCATCATTGCTTTGGCCCAGAATTAAACAACTTTTGCAGTTGGAGATTCAACTTTGTGGTATCTTTCCTGACCTCGCCTTCTTTAGCAGAAGGGAGCTCCTGTTCAAATGGGATCGTAGGAGTACCGGCACATTGTTGCCCTTTCAATCAGAGGACCAGTTGTAGAACAGACAAGTGGCAGGAGGAGAACAAATTAGGGCATTCGGGATAGTGGATGAACTAAACTTCCAAGTAGAATAACATTCATTCCCCTTCCAATTAGGTTTATTACTGGGAAGAGGACAGCCGGAACGACACGGAAAAAGTGAAGGTCCTTTTCCTCCCAGAGACAAGTGTCCGGTTGAAGAACTTGACCAGTTACTCCAAATATTTGGTCTGTATTTCTGCGTTCAATGCAGCTGGAGATGGGCCCAAAAGTAGTCCTGGTCAGGGCAGAACACACCAGGCAGGTAAGAATCTCGTTTGGCTGGGCACAACTTTCAATGTAAGTCTCCTTTTTGGAGAGAAAAGCGGGGTATAAATACACATCATAATAATAATAATAATAATAATAATAATAATAATAATAATAATAATAATAATAATAATAATGCTTTTAATGCTGTACTTCAACATCAGAATAAATGGCTATAAAGATAAAGCCTGCATCACTTAAAATGCAAAGCATATTTGAATGCCTATATCTCTCACGTCTGAATGTTCTAAATATGTCAAAAGATGTCTCCATCTTTGGCCCTTTCTTCGTTTCTTTGTGAAGTACCCAGCCATATACAGATCACACCAGCTTGCTTTTCCTGAAGTTCTACTTAATTGCCATATTCTAGTAGAGGCCTTCCCCCTTAGTATTGATCTGGTCTTAAATAATAATACTATTTAGTATTATTTAAGAAGCAACTGGAAAAGCTGGCACAATACAAGAATTTAAAGATCGAACTGCAAAGAATCTGGCATAAGCCAGTCAAGGTGGTCCCAGTGGTGATCGGCATACTGGGTGCAGTGCTTAAAGACCTTGGCCTGCACTTGAAAACAATTGGCACTGACAAAAATCACCACCTGTTAGCTGCAAAAGGTCACCATACTCAGATCTGCACACATTATTCGCCGGTACATCACATAGTCCTAGACACTTAAGAAGTGTCCAACGTCTGATCCAATACATTATTATTATTATTATTATTATTATTATTATTATTATTATTATTTCTTACACACCTCTCTTTATAGCTCGAGGCGGGCTAAATGCATTGTGTCTCAATCCCATTGAATAGGAGTCTGATCCAGAGTGGTCCAGACTCCAACAACACATAGGTTCTATACAATTAGAACCATATCTACATACTTCCAAATAACCCCACCGAATGAGCAAACATTGACATCTTTGGGTAAATTTTGGCCTTCCAGTTGTTGTTAGACTCCGGTATCCATCATCCATATCCAGCAAAGCTAATGATGAAAGATGATGGGCAGTGCAACCCAACATCTGAAGCAGCCCACCCGGTCCTAATATGGAAGCAAAGAATGATTTCTGGAAAACTCTCAATGTTTTGACGGCACTTTCCCTTGGTGATGATACTGTCTACAGTAGTGGTTCTCAACCTGGGGTCCCCAGGTGTTTTGGCCTACAACTCCCAGAAATCCCAGTCAGTTTACCAGCTGTTAGGATTTCTGGGAGTTTGAAGGCCAAAAACATCTGGGGACACCAGGTTGAGAACTACTGGTCTACAGTGTGATGATTGGAGGAATCCTCCTTTGGGAAAGATCTGCAAAAGGCAATGATGGAATGCAATTTGGTTTGAAGGCCACAAGTTTATATTCCAATTGTCCCGAGAACACTTCTGGAGGTTATCATAAGCATCTGTGGCCTTCAGCATTGCTCCTGGTGGCCTTCAGCATTGCTCCTGCTTCTCCTCATGCTCTCCATCACTCTTTCAGCTCCCGGGGCTCCCAGCTTCTTGGCTTTCTCTGAGATCACATGCTCTACTCTCAATGTCTCCTGGGGGGAGCCTGCTGCAGCCAATGGCATTCTGCAGGGATACCGAGTGATCTATGAGCCTTTGGCCCCAGTTCAAGGTAAGGCTTCCAGATAAATCTTTACTTGGAGAAGAATAAGAATCTATTAAAAATGTAAGATTGGCCACTGCCCATCTTATTGCCTATGTTTTCCTGTATCAACACACACACTAGAGGGTGATGAACATGTCTGGACAACCTTCAGGGGTGCATTCCCTTTCTGCGCATTCCTGGTACTTTGATTGTGCTTTTCCTGCATGGTGGAAAATTGGACTGGATGGCCCATGTGGTCTCTTCCAACTCCGTGATTCTATTATTCTAAAGCAGGGGTTCTCAACCTTCCTCATGCTGCGACCCCTTAATACAATTCCTCATGTTGTGGTGACCCCCAATCATAACGTTATTTTCATTGCCACTTCATAACTGTCATTTTGCTACTGTTATCAATCGTAATGTAAATATCTGATACGCAGGATGTATTTTCATTCACTAGACCAAATTTGGCACAAATACCTGATATGCCCAAATTTGAATACTGGTGGGGTTGGGGCGGGGGGTGTGTGTGTTGATTTTGTCATTTGGGTGTTCTGGTTGCTGGGATTTGTAGTTCTCCTACAATGAAAGAGCATTGTGAACTCTACCAGCAATGGAATTGAACCAAACTTGGCATACAGAACTCCCATGGCAAATAGAAAATATTGGAAGGGTTTGGTGGGCATTGACCTTGAGTTTTGGAGTTGTAGTTCGCCTACATCCAGAGAGCACTGTGGACTCAAACAATGATGGATCTGGACCAAACTTGGCACAAATATTCAACATGCCCAAATGTGAACACTGGTGGAGTTTGGGGAAAATAGTCCTTGACATTTTGGGAGTTGTAGTTGCTGGGATTTGTAGTTCACCTACAATCAAAGAACATTCTGAACCCCACCAACGAGAGAACTGGGCCAAACTTCCCACATAGAACCCCAATGACCAACAGAAAATACTGTGTTTTCTGGTGGTCTTTAGTGACCCCTCTGACATTCCTTCGTGGCCCCTCCAGGGGTCCCAATCCCCAGGTTGAGAACCATTGTTCTAAAGCCAGCGTGCTTCACACTTTTTTTGCTGAGTGGCATTTTAAGCTATTGTGATGCAATGACACAGATCAACCCTTGCAAAAACTACTATGTCTGTATTCTGCAAATTCACGATGTCTGCTGTCAACAATTTTGGAAGGAATATCCATTTCAAAGGTACAAATATAGAGAAAATTATATTTTCTAGTCTGAAATTCAAACAGCAAAGGAGTTATATCTGCTTTTACTAGCCACTAATACGCCTTATATCAAATTTGTGAATATTATTTGCACCTGAAAACAGGGTATGGTGTTGATTTATTGACCTCTGAGCATCCACTAAAAGGCACAAAAATAAATAATGAAGTGTGCTACCTCAGTCATCTCCAAAGCCCAGAGTGGCACTTATCTTTTTATTGCAATTACTAGCAACTACAAACTATTTACAGGAGCAGAATAAAACACGTCCATTCTTTAGCTGTACATCACTGGAAGCTGAAGCGCATGGCTATCTGATTCTCTGGAATGTAAACACATTACCGGAACACTCGGAAGTTATGCTCTAGGAATCAAGCCCAGCTCTATGCATTTACCTCTTGCATTGCATTGCCACACCACACACAGTTTAAACTACAAACAATATTTCATT